CTGCCCCCTCCCGCCCCGTTGCCGCCGCCGCCGCTGCGCACGCCGCGCCCCGCAGCGCCTGGCTTCCTCCTCGCTAGGGTGGCGTTGGGCCGACGCGGGCGCTCAGTTGACTGCAGCTACTCCGCTCCCCATCCCCCGCCCCGCGCGGCTGCCAGTCGCTTCGCATAGGGCTGGATGGTTGCATCGAGCAGGGTGGCTCCAGGATGTTAGGGGCTGTGAAGATGGAAGGGCACGAGAGCAGCGACTGGAACAGCTACTACGCCGACACACAGGAGGTGAGAGGCGGGCAGCAGGCGGGGGGTTCCTGGAGCCCGTACTGGGGGAGGCCGGGCGAGGCGGGCCCCCGGCAGGGCGGGGGTGCTGGCGGACTGGGGGCGCCTCCTCTGTGCCACTAGTGCCTACCCACCGGGTTTAGCCCAGGCCGGGCCTGGGCCGGGCCTGGGAGCCGGATCCGCAGCCCCGCCGGGGAACTGGATCCCGGCGATCGGCGCTCAGAGAGGGCGAGACGGTTTTAGGAAACTCTGGCTTTGAAAACACGCGCTCTGAGACGCACTTGCCTCCTCCCTGCCGAGAGCGGGAGCCAGAGCCCGGACCCGTGTCCCGAGCGCGGGTTGGCGGGCGGGCGCCGGCACGAGTTTGAGGCAACTTTGAAAAAGCCAGAATTCGCCCGCAGGGCGGCCTCTTCCTTCCGCAGTTGAATTCTCAGATGTCTTCTGATGAAAGCGCGCAGCCGCTAAGTTGAGCGTCTTGATAATGAAATGATTCCGAAATTTTGTAAAACTTCAAAAGCCGTTTGGGCAGAAGTGTGCTCCTTCCTCTCTAGAACCGCTGGGTGGCGCTAGTGCGAGCTGACTTTTCCTCCAGCACTCCGGGCGGGCGGAGAACCTGTTTCTCTTCATTGTCCCCTTGGTGGCACGTTCATGTGGTTTATTTTACAATGTGCACAAAGGGATTGCGAGGAAAACCAGGTACAGGCAGGACCACCACCTACTAAAAGTATTTGTCTGGAAATAGCTGGCGATTACCCTTCAATAGTTTACCATTATTGAAAACGTTTACTGAAACTGCTTTGCATAATCTTGGGAAGAGGAAAAGAAAAGTAAAAAATACTTTAAGACGTGGACAGAAAAATATAAAATCAGGAAATATTTTCGTGGTAATTAATTTATTTAGATTTGTATATGTATATATTCACAAACTTACCTCGAGTTTATTTGCATACTACAGCAGAACGTGTGCCTAGTTAAATCTGTTTGTTCACCTTTTATGTTTTCAAATAAAGTCATATTTTCTGATGAAAATAAATTTAAGGATATCATTAGTTTTATTAAATAACAGAAATAGTTTTTATTATTTCTGTACTCTATATTTTTTAACATATCTAGTGCATTCTCAGATTGCTATTGATAAGGGTTTTCTCTACTGATGATTTAAGAAAGAGCTCAGAACTCTTCCTCGGGTTTAATTCAGATACAGTCATCTCCAATCACTAGTCAATTAAATTCTCTGTGAAAAGAGCTTCTTTACAGGTTAAAACTGGGAATTAGAAAGTAGAATAGCATTAAGAGAAAATAAGCGGACTTTGATTTTGGAATTGTAAAGTATTTGAAACTATTCGTATATAGTTTGAAAAGCCAGGTTTTGAGATTATCAGCGGCAAAATATCAGAATGTGGAAAAAATATGATTATTTCTACAAATTGTGTCACCAAAATTTTCAAGCCTTAGGGGCCTGGAAAAAGGTAATGAAATTAGTGCAAGTTTATGAATGGCTGTAAAGTCATGTTAAAGTTGAATGTATGTCGTGCCTTGATATTATGATGCACCCTTCCCTACCCCTTCTCCTATTATAGATCTATTTTTAATTTTTTCCAAAAGTTAACTTCTGAGGTTTTTTTCTCTTTTAAAATTACAATTGCTACAAATAGATGGAAAACACCACTTCTAAATATAATAACAAAAAGTCACCATTTGGTGAAAACTGCTAAGACGGTAAAGCCAGTTATTTGGAAATGTTTGGTCATATGGCCATAGATGATTTGCTCTATCAGGGAGAGTTTAATTAACGGCCACCCCGCGCTGCCCAGGCCGCTACGTGGTCAGCCGGGCCTGGCAGGCTTAGGTGAGATGTGTGCCGAGCTGGCGCTGTGGCCCTACTGGGGGCGGGGGCGGGGCTGCACCGCCATACACACGGTACCCTTAAGGTGGAGTGAATAAGCAAAGGATCCGAGATTAATTCTGTTTTCGGAGTTTTAACTCCTTTTAACCAAAAGGGCGCTTTGCCGAGGCTGGGCTGGGGTGGAAACTGGGATACCGCGTGGCATGGATAGAGGCGACGTAGGGGCCCTAGAAGCCGGCCCCCGAGCCTGGCGTGTAAGGCGATTACACATCTTCCTGGGGACATATTTTCTGTGAGCTCTTGTCTTTCATGCCTGCGGAGATAGGATTTTTCCCCTGCCGTGCAAGACAACTCTTTGCGGGTTCTGGGGAGGGCGCCCGACGGTTTGCCCCTGGTGGGGAGTCCTATGCTTTGCAGAAATGCTCTTCTCTTGTTTTCGGATTTGCCCCGGCCGGTAGGCTGCCTGCGCTCACTACTAACTCCGCCCTTCGGGGCCTCTTCACGCTGTCTCCGCTCCAGGCCTACAACTCGGTCCCGGTCAGCAACATGAACTCGGGCCTGGGCACCATGAATTCCATGAACACTTACATGACCATGAACACCATGACCACAAGCGGCAACATGACCCCGGCTTCGTTCAACATGTCCTACGCAAACCCGGGCCTTGGCGCCGGCCTGAGCCCCGGGGCGGTGGCTGGCATGCCGGGCGGCTCTGCGGGCGCCATGAATACCATGACGGCGGGCGTGACGGCCATGGGGACGACGCTGAGCCCAGGCGGCATGGGGGCCATGGGCGCGCAGCCCGCGGCCTCCATGAACGGCCTGGGCCCCTACGCCGCTGCCATGAACCCGTGCATGAGCCCCATGGCGTACACGCCGTCCAATTTGGGCCGCAGCCGGGCTGGTGGCGGCGGAGACGCCAAAACTTTCAAGCGCAGCTACCCACACGCCAAGCCGCCCTACTCGTATATTTCCCTCATCACCATGGCTATCCAGCAGGCGCCCAGCAAGATGCTCACACTGAGCGAGATCTACCAGTGGATCATGGACCTCTTCCCCTATTACCGGCAGAACCAGCAGCGCTGGCAGAACTCCATCCGCCACTCGCTTTCCTTCAACGACTGCTTTGTCAAAGTGGCCCGCTCCCCGGACAAGCCGGGCAAGGGTTCCTACTGGACGCTGCACCCGGACTCCGGCAACATGTTCGAGAACGGCTGTTACTTGCGACGCCAGAAGCGCTTCAAGTGCGAGAAGCAGCCAGGCACCGGGGGCGGGAGCGGCGGCGGCGCCAAGGGAGGCCCTGAGAGCCGTAAGGACCCTTCGAGCGCTGCCAACCCCAGCGCCGACTCGCCCCTTCGTCGGGGCGTGCACAGTAAGGCGGGCCAGCTAGAGGGCGCGCCGGCCCCCGGGCCCGCTGCCAGCCCCCAGACTCTGGACCACAGCGGGGCGGCGGCGACAGGGGGCGCCTCGGAGTTGAAGACTCCGGCCTCCTCGGCTGCACCTCCGATCAGCTCCGGGCCTGGGGCGCTGGTATCTGTGCCCCCCTCCCACCCGGCGCATGGCCTGGCACCCCACGAGTCCCAGCTGCACCTGAAAGGGGACCCTCACTACTCCTTCAACCACCCTTTCTCTATCAACAACCTCATGTCCTCCTCGGAGCAGCAGCACAAGCTGGACTTCAAGTCATACGAGCAAGCACTACAGTACTCGCCCTATGGCACCGCATTGCCCGCCAGCCTACCCCTCGGCAGCGCCTCGGTGGCCACGAGGAGCCCCATTGAGCCCTCAGCCCTGGAGCCAGCCTACTACCAAGGTGTGTATTCCAGACCCGTTCTAAACACTTCTTAGCTCCCTGGGACTGGGGGTTTGTCTGGCATGGCCATGCTGGTAGCAGGAGAGAGAGAGAGAGAGAGAGAGAGAGAGAGAGAGAAATCAACAGCAAACAAAACCACACATACCAAGCCGACAGCAGCATAGTAAAATCCCAACTATTTTTATTTTATTTTTTTGTGCACAATCTTTCCCCCAGTACAAAAGACTGTTACTTTGTTACTGTTGTTCTGAACGCTTTGTGTATATTATTACAAAAAAAAAAAAAACCCAAACCAACAAACATTTTTCCTGCAAAGTTTAATGATCCACAAATGTATATATATGAAATCCTCCTACTTCCTTGCCCCTCTCCCTTTCTTTCCTCTTCCACCTGCAGACGTGTTCTAGTCTGTGCAGGATTTATTTAAAAAAAAGAAAGATGGTCAAGCTTGTAAAATATTTGTTTGTGCTTTTTTTCCCCCTCCTCACCTAACCCCCATCCCCACATACACACACACAGGAGTTTACAGGTCTGTGGCAATACTCTTAACCATAAGAACTGAAAGGGTGGAAAAGAAGTAGACACTAGGGCTGTTAAAAGTATTGAAGGACAGCGCTGCCATTATGCAGCAAATCATAAACAGATTATAAACATCAGAGCCACTTGTTTTTCAGCTTACATTTCAGATACATTCAGATAGCAGATGTCTTAAAATGAAACACATATCATATATGAACTTATTTATGCACATGCTCAGCTATGTACATCTTCCATATATTTACATAACATACGGAGGTGATAGGTAGGAGATATACACGCTCTTGAAAGAGTTGCCTGACCAAGAAGTTACAAAGACACCCTCCTCCCCTCCTCTCCACCCATATATAGCCCTGGGAATCAATTCCTCGAGAATTGCCCTCCTCAATAACTCTGTTCCTTGCTTTGCAGAGGGCCATGGTCTTATCATGCTGAGGTCACATAATGTGTAAAATTAGCTTCTATGTATCCATACCATTTAAAGGATATTTTCTCCAGAAAAAAAAGGGAATATTACAATGTTAGAGGAGAGATAAGTTATAGGGAGATGTATTTCAAAATTTGGTCCAAGGTTCCAAAATCCAGTTGATTGTGGTCATTTTAATTATTGCCATCATGTGCTTGTTTCATTCAGTGTTAATGCACTTTTCACAGTTGGACATGGTGTTAGTATAGCCAGACGGGTTTCATTATTATTCCTCTATGCTTTCTCAATGTTAATTTATTGCATGGTTTATTCTTTTTTCTTTACAGCTGAAATTGCTTTAAATGACGGTTAAAATTACAAATTAAAATGTTAATTTTTATCAATGTGATTGTAATTAAAATATTTTGATTTAAATAATGAAAATGATAAATTTTAAGCCGTGGAATATGTTCTTGATCATTTGCAGTTAAGGACTTTAAATAAACCAAATGTTAACAAAAAGAGGATTTCTGTTATTTTCCTTAATTAAATACAAAATGGATATTCTGAATATGATATTTTTCAAAGTCTGGGCACTGAATATAAATGACAAAAAGGAAAATAATCTAAAAAATTTGTTTTGTTTATGTTTATTGTATGAACACCTAGCTAGTAAAAAGCAATTAAGGAGATTCAATAAAAGTTCATAAATAAAAAGATAGATAGATTTAATATCCTAAGAATTGAGATTTTTAAGATTCTTTATTCCCAGTAATGTTTACTTCAATTTTTGACAAGGTCTTAAGCCTTCTATGCTTCCTTTGAGCCTTTCCACAATAAACTCAAATATTATTTTACCTACCTTCCCCCCTTCCCCAATGTATCATTTTCCTTTATCTGAAAAGTATTTGAGTAAGAATAAAATATCAGATGTAGCTGATAAAATTAAGTTGTCTACCACAGAGGATCCAGAACCCTCTTTTTATTAAAAGAAGAGCAAAATTTAACCATCATGGTAGCTTTAGAGGGGGTCTGGGGAGGCATGAGTTAATTCATTCCTGCAGGGGAAGCTTTGTGCCACCAAGACATTTCAGGGTTGCTGCTATTTTGTATTTTGTGAAGATATTTTTTTAAATATTGTTTCTAATTTTTTTCCTGAGAGCTTAAAACTGATGATTTGTTTGCCTTCTAAGAAGCTTTTAAATGCAGCTTCACACCCCTACAGTTGGTTGAGATCACAAAATCATTAATCTCCTTTGATAGTAGGCTCACTTTCCAGTCCACCTATTTCTTTGTAAGCTTCGTTCGGATTGACATCAACAATAACAACACCAGCCCAAGCAGAGGCTGGCCTGCCTGAGCCCTTGTGTATGAACTCCATCCTCGCCAGGGCTTGAACTTGGACAGCCTTTACTTTGATCGCCCCACTCCTTACCGCGGACAAGATAAAAAGAGCTGTGTGAGTCCCTTAATTATCGCGTAATTGCCTCCCCAGATGAGAGAAGGGGTGCCATGTAGCACTTGAGAAAAATCCAGAGATCCAACCCCCGCTCTCACTTCAGCTAATGAAAGGAGATGGAAATTACTGGTTTGAGTAATTTCACAATCTAATTTAGAGGCCTCTCGGAAGGACGTTAAAGTCTCAAAGAGAGGAAAAAGCTTTCGATCCCAATAGTTATTTATATTTATACAACGGGCAAACGTTGGCAAATTCGAATTCCAAAAGTAATATAAAGGCGTGAGCTTGGGCCTCGGAATTTTACCCGGCCCCACTGAACCTAAATCGTCTAACTTTGTTCGCTTCCCTCTCTTTAACATGTTAATAATATCAGTGTCTCGCATTCACCCACCAGGCTAAAGTCGGCCTATTAGCTCTTGCTCTTACTAAGCGGAAACTTTTTCAGGGTTTGCGGCGGCCGAGGCGCCGCAGGTTTACGGCCGAGGCCACTTTGGAGACCTGCCTGGGGAGCTAGCCCTGTGGGTGGCGGGGAGCGGGGCTCGCCTCGTGGGCTTCTCACGCGATTTTCTGACCGCTCCCTCAAGCCACCTCTGGGCGATGCCATCTGCGCCCTGTGCGTTAGGGAGAGCGCGGGCTGGGGTCGGGGCGGCCGGTTGCCGGGTAAGGAGGGCAGAGAGAAGGACCGCAAGCATCTTGAGGTGACAAGTGCAGTTAGTTCTTCATTGTTCGGGCATTTTCCTCTCCTAGCGAATAAATCTTCTGTTGAGCCCGAGACCTGAAAGTCAACAAAGAAGGCCAGGCGCCTCGTTACCGCTCCTGCGGCTCCAACGTCCGCGCTGCCGCGGCTGCTCCCGCTGCGTAATCCCTTCCTCGGAAACCCGGACACACAAACGCCGGAACGCCCGGGGCCAGGGCGCCGCGCCCCAGGGCCAGGAGGAAAACATCTGTGGTTTCAAGGAGTGCTGGGACCCTCCCGGAGCGCGCCGCCTTCCCGCGACCCCCTCCCACCTCCCTTTTCGTCCTGGAGCGTCTATATTTCTTCACTTCGGAGGCTCTTGCAGAAGAGGGCCGGAAAGGGGACGCTGAGCCCTCAGCTGCGGTCCACCGGACTCTCTTTATTTAGGAATTTCGCCCGAGGTGGGGGAGGGGTCTCCAGAGGGGAGGGAGGGAGGGAGAAGGGAAAACCTTCTTTTAGACCCAAGAGCAAAGCTCCGGAGGCCCTCCGATCCACTGACTACGCCACCGAGCAAACATTTTTAGAAAACAAGAAAAATGTTTTGAGAGTGAGTATAGTGCTGGGGAGGGGAACTTCGGATGTTACCTTCACCTTGTCCCAGCCTGAAACATTTTTTTTTAATTGATTAAAAAAAAAGACAACTAAATTTAGGGAAGAAGAAAAGCTCACCAGTTCTGCTCAGAAACTACACAACTTAGAAGTGTTCCCAAGTAGAAAGCAGCTCAGTGTTTCTTACACGAGAGCTAATACAGTGTTTAAACCAAAGATAAAATTTAATTTCCATTGTCCCTTGGTGATCCCCTCATTGTAGAATAAACTGGAGAGAATTATTATGGGAGGAGGGATTAAACAAACAAAATCCTATTAAAGTTCTCAACTTCTGTTTTCATTTTCTGAAAGCTAGATACCCGACTGATTTCACTGAAAGTATAAAAAACATTAGTTTACTCAGGAGTCTAACAGATTTGAATAAGCCATAGCAGAAAAGAATTCCTGGAGTGACAAAATTTTAAAACTTTGTTGTTTTGTCACTTTAAAAAATTGATCTCAATTCCACGAAAATGCTTATTACATTTCTTTCCAGAAAACTTCTGTGATCGATAAAAATTCCTTTCAGTGGAGGCCAATGTAGGAGACCTGTAGCCCAAATTAATTAACCTTTCCTCAAGATCAATTGGTCCTCTGTTGATTTAGCAGCAATATTGTAGGACATTTAGCTATAATGTATTTTAATGTGGTACCGCAATATGTCAAGAGGAAAAGCTCATTGAAAAGATAAAATTGCTTAAATTATGTAATGGATGTTTAATAAATTTGTAAAAATGTTTTACTTTCAAAAATTAAACGTTAATTGCGTATTTGAATTGTAGTAAAATGTGTTTGCAACTAAATGGAGTTAAGATAATGTCTAATTACTTCAAGGTAATTACGTGCAAAAAGGTGATTATTTTTAAGCTACTTTGGGCTAAATAGGAAATTAAATTATGCTGAAATTTAGAAATAAGATGTTCCTGAACTGAAAGAATTATTGGCATCTGCAGAAACTCATGAGAGTAAAAATGTAATTAAATGAAGTAACTTGGAAGGTTTTACAATCTTACTAATTAAAAATACAATCCATTTGGGAAGATATCATGTTTTTTAAAAGAAGCCATTTATTCAAGTTTTATTTTCTACCAATGATCCAATTTACTGTATCCAAATAACATTCAATAACAGATTACTTTAAATATTCTTTTTCTTCAAATAGTAAAGTTTGAGGCTATAATGTTTCCATTGGTGTTTCTCTTCTTAGATCCTAGCCTAGCTCGGTTCATTGAACTTTGGACAGCTCAGACTGCAGCCCTCACCTTTTTTTTTCCTTCTGCAGCCAGCATAGTAGTAAGCAATTTGGGGC